CGAACTTGATTTTGCAAGTGTCTTTGATCGATCTCATCACCATTGGAACCAGGCTTGAGCTTGGAGAAGAGCTGATTGAATGCCAGAAGCAGATTCTCATCCTTCACAATATGGTTTCCGCATTGAGCTAGATTTCCTGTCCCTCTCTATGGAGTAACTTTCCTATTCACTTGGGTATGAACAACCCTAGATTTGTATGGTTAGGTTTGATTGTATGAACCCAAGTACAGACTCAGTGATATGATTATATTCAATTTAGGTTCGATTTGTTGAATGGCATGAATCCTGATCAAATTTCTGTTGTTTCTGCTTTAAACTAGAAAGAGAATATATGCCTAGGTTGATAGAGCACCCTTGATTGAAGGTAGTGAATTGACGACTTTAGTCGAGGAGTCAATTCACTATTCTGTACCGAATTTACTTCGGTAGTGGAGGTTTGGTTCGTTAGGGCCTCAATCTGTTTAATCTGGTGGAGGTTAGTCGCCCGCTGGGGACTCAGATTGATAGGTTCTGGAGACCTTTAGTCGAGACTGCAGACTGTTTAAGAACCTCCCGCAGTATAACTATCATTGAAATTGAACTTGGTAAATTACAATCCGGCTTAACTGCAGTCTAGGGGGAACCATATCCGGGTGACCTCTCTCGACTTGAAAACAACCTTTTAACTGCTTTGCTTGTTTGCTTGTTTGGATCTTCACTAAAGTTTCACTGCTAAATAATAAGAACTCACGGAGTAGTCATCACACTTAGGACCCGGGTTGACATTAAAACCCAAACTCGCTATACTATGCTTTAGGAGGTGGTTACACTTGGCCATTTTCTAGAGTGACGGTAGGAGTGAGTCAAGTTTTTCGCGCCGTTTCCGGGGACGGCTAGGTTGTTGAAGAAACGTGGTTTCTGTTAATTTAGCTTTTCTTTTTAGCATTGTTTGTTTGCTTTCACACACTTGTGCCTTCACGGGTTTGTTGCTTGACTGTGTGCAGGTAGTGCATGACCCGTAGGCAGTCAGGAGGTTTACTGCCGTTGGATCCGGAGCTTGAACGCACCTGTCGCCAACTTAGGAGACAACAGCTAGCTAGACTGGCTACGGAGGAGCGCATAGACGGCCACTTGAGCAGCGATTCCGAGGACGAGTACGAGATGGAAGGCGAACATAACACGTCCCAGGGGATACCTCTACAGGTTCCCCCGGTGAATAAGATCTTGGGGAACAACCCCATACCCCAGGTAGATGGGGTTCAGCATCAACCATCACCGTCGGGTCACACCTTGGAGTATTACTACACTCCACGGGTCGCTGATATCCGCCCTGCCATCCTCTATCTGCCCATCCCAGCAAACAACTTTGAGATCAAGCCATGTTGGATTCAACTCATTATATCCTCTATCCAGTTTCATGGCTTGAAGGATGAGGAGGAAATGGTGCATCTTTCCCGTTTCTTACAGCTGACGAACGGGTTCAAGATGAATGGTGTACCCGATGATGCGATCCTCCTTCACCTCTTCCCCCATTCTTTGGCGGGGCATGCAAAGAGGTGGTTGGAGACCCAGCCCCCATTGTCCATTACTTCTTGGGACGATCTGGCCAACAAGTTCGTGCACAGGTACTATCCGACATCGAAAACTACAGAGATTCAGCGGGAGATCACTCACTTCTGCCAAGAGCCAGATGAGTCACTTCGTGATGCATGGGAGCGGTACTCGGGATTTTTTCTGGCAGTGTCCCCATCACGGCTTTAGTGATGCAAACTTCATTCAGTTACAACACAATCTTAACCTTAAATAGACCCTAGCTAGAGTACTGAACAAGGAAGGAAATCCTAAACCTATGACAACTTGACTTAAACCCCAAAAGAACTCATCCGTACACGGAAAGGAAACCAAACGTGAACAAGCTATAACTCCCAATCCCACAAGGATTGCTAATTTCCAAAGTCAGAAACAGTGGCCTCGACACGATCTTTTGACGCTTCGTTCGAGTGCTTCTAGGACCCAAATCAATCAGCCAATTCCCCGTCGTTGTATTCTGAAATATGTAGTTTGATGTGGTAAACACCATTGATCCCAACTCGCAGCCCTAATGTTAGAATTATCCTCCAAAGTGGCTATGCTGAACACAGTTTTGGACTTAGACAGAATTGGGCAGTTTTCCTGCGTAGAGCTAGCCTTTTGTCGAGCCTGAAAAGGGACCTTCCAAGTTCCACCTTGAGCCACCAAACACTCCAACTGATAGAAGATGTCTTGAGCTTCAAAACAAGCTCCCAAACTCACCATTCCATTGCCCCAATCAGAAGAACCAAGTCCCCAAAGTACCCTATTTGAACTCGTCAAAAGACTTAAACCAAAATTCCACATTGTTCAAATGAATTGGGTTACCTCTTGAACAAGTAGTTCCAGCTTGGCAAGGAAGCAATCCAGGGTTGCATCACCGCCCCATACTCATACCCGCCCCATCAGGAGCATTTCTTCGCAAATAAAAATTACATTGATTAAATTGTAACCTATCAATAATAGTGAGGGTAACTCAAGAAAATAAAAAGTATAAATGGAATTGGGTGGCCTCCCAAATCAAAACCTAATTTCTTTTCCTCAACTCTCCTTTCACTCTTTCACTTTTTCCATCGTGTTAACAAGATTATGTTAGTTAGTTATTACTTAGTAGATGTATTAGAGTAAGAGAATAATAATTATGGATTAATGGATGTTTTAAGATAAGATGTTTTGAACCGTGTAAAGAATGTTTTTCTCTTTGTCGACTTTATTATATAGTAGGTGCGTTTAGGGTTTTAATTAAAAATTCACATATTAAATATTAGGTGTTATAATGTTGGATGTACTGGGGCGAGTATTACCCATGGGTACCCAAAACCCATAAGTATGAGGATGGGTTTGCAACACCTTCCCCACATGGATATGGGTTAGGTATGGTTTGGATATTTGAAAGCGAGTATGTGAGTGGTTTAGGCAAACCGCCCCAAACAAGCCACATTGCCATCCCCAATCACTAATTATATAATCAATCATTCAATCACGTACTTTGATCATTATAATCTAAGAATTAAAAATGATTAATACCTTATTATGGCCGAACTATACCCAAATAATCAATTTTGGCCAATGGTTTCAGAAATTAATATCCCGACCTCAACTTTACATCATATAGACTCAATTGGCCGGATGCATGGTTTGACCGTGAATTTGGACGGTCAACACCGTTGACTAACGGTCAATGGTCCATCTCACTGCCATGTCAGCACCAAAATTAATAAAAAATTCAAATCCAAATAAAAATGATATTTTCTTATTCCCTTAATATAATAAGATAATAAATCACGGTAAAAAATAATAAAAATTTAAAAACAAATTATCCAATAAGATAATAAATAATGGTACAAAATAATAAAAAAAATTAATTTTTTCATCCATAAAGATAATAAATAATGGTAAAAAATAATTAACCAAACAAAATTTAAATTTTTTGTTTTTGTTATTATTATTTGAATTTAATTTTTGTTATTATCATTATTTGAATTTAATTATTATTATTATTATTACTTTTAGTGAAAATAATTTGTAATTTTTTATAATTTTGGTGTTGTAATGGAAGTAAGCTGGACCGTTGATCGTTAGTCAGCGGTGTTGACCAGCCAAATTGACGGTCAAACCACGCGTCTGGCAATTTGAGTTTATATGGTGTATAATTGAGGTCGAAATATGAATTTTTGAAACCACAAACCAAAGTTGATTATTAGTGTATAATTCGCGTCATAATAAATATTAGGACTTTGCTACGGTGACATGCACTTTTAGGTCGACCTCATATAGGATTAGGTCGACCTGATCTGTTATTTCAGTGTAAAACCAGTTTCATGGTGTCTACTTTGGAGATTCATATCTTACAATTGGCTAGATGGAAATTGGAGATTAAAGGCTTGTTTTGAAGCTGAAGTGTCCCTCTACACATTAAAGTACTTGGGAGCTCAATAGAAAGTCCAGAAGACCATTTTTGAACCTGGCCAAAAGGCTATGCCAAAACTGGGAAACTGCCTGAAAATGGCTAAGTCTGGCAACGTGTTTGTCAAGCCTACTTTGGAGCTCAATTTGGAAAGCATGGATGCGAGTCAAGTCCAGGGGTCTCTACCACGTTAAATTACGTGTTTTTTTGTACAAAGGCAAGGCATTGGATGAAAGATTGAATATCTTTAAGGGTTCAAACAAAAGGCTCGAAGTTGCAACGAAGGCTGTTTTTCTGGCAGCTTGCTTGTGCTCGAAGTCTGCCAGAGAAACAGCCTTCGTAGAAACTTTGACCCTTTTGTTTGAAGCCTTACAGATATCCAATCTTTTATCTAATGCCTTGAATTTGTATAAAAACATACCTAATTTAACGTGGTAGAGGCTCCTGGACTCGACTCGCATTCATGCTTCTCGAATTGAGCTCCAAAATAGGCTTCACAAACACGTTTCCATACTTAGCCATTTCCAGGCAGTTTCCTAGTTTTGGCATAGCCTTTTGATGAGGTTCAAAAACAATCTTCTGGAATTCCTATCGAGCTCTCAATCACTTCAATATGTAGAGGGACACTTCAGCTTCAAAACAAGTCATTAGTCTTCAATTTCCATCTAGCCAATTGTATGATATGAATATCCAAAGTAGACACCATGAACTGTTTTTACACTGAAACAACATATTAGGTCGACCTGATCCTATATGAGGTCGACCAGATCCTATATGAGGTCGACCGAATTCTAAATGTGGTCGACCTAATTCTAACTGAGGTCGACCGGAAAGTGCAAATCACCGTGACATGCATGTCACCATAGGCACACCCTAAATATTAACCCAATTAAAAATCATTTGTCATTTCTCTATTTGTTTCCCTTTTATTTCGGGTCACATATTGGGCTTTAGTGATTACTTATCTGCTATTGGGCCTCGAGGAAGCTTCCTGGCCAGCTGGCGTGCTCTGAAGCCGTCAGATTTCCAGGTCTATTTATATGGGCGCAATTAGTCGAACACAGTCTTTTCATTCATGTTCTTTCCCATTTCCCACAACAGCTGCTCTAAGTCAAAAGTTAGAAAGGCGGCAAGCTCCTGCGACGCGCGAGCACGCTAACGGCTCTCTCTCGTTTTCTCGATCATCTCTCCGTCGCCGATCGACTTCTCCGTTCCGACGCGTTTTCCGATTTGGGTTTCGTCGCTCTCATTCTTTTTTACTCTGTTGTTCGGGAAATTAGGGTTTCCGAAAACCCTAGCTTCGTCAGTTCTCGCTCTCTCCAACGTTACTTGTGTTTTCCCCTTTCTGGAATCCATCGAATATGGCGGCGGAAACAGCTTCCGCCGCCGCCCCCTTGTTGTCTCTGCCGGTGGGCTATCACTTTAGCCCAAGCGACGAAGAGCTCGTGGAGTATTACCTGAAGAGGAAAGCTAGAGGAGAGAGTTTCCCGTACAATGTGATTCCCGACTGCGATCTCTACGGCGACAAGGCTCCGTGGGAGATGTTTCCCCAGGATGCCGGAACAGGGAGAGATAGGTTTTTCGTCTTCACCAAGCTGAAGAGGCTGAGTAAGAGAAGGGTTTCGCGGACAGCCTCTATTGGAGAATGGCATGGTAACACTTCTGGTGAAATTTTTGATGGGAAGAAGAACAATGTGATTGGCACTAGGAGACAGTTCGTTTTCAAGGTGAAGAAAGGGAAACAAGGGAGTGCCTCGGGAGCTCCTGTGGGGCATTGGATAATGCATGAGTATTCACTTGCTGGGATTGATTCTGATGTTGTGTTGTGTGAAATAGAAAATAAGGAGAAGAAGAGGTTGAGAAGTGATTATGAAAGGGTGTTTTGTGAGACTGTAAACAAGGGAAGTAAAAGGCTGAGGATGGATGAAGATGGTGCTTTCTTGACTGCCACGGATGATGGTGTATCGTCATTGGCAGATATGGAGTCCGAGTTAAATAAATATTTGTTCACCGACCCGGAAGATGCTGCTGTGTCATCGTCGTCATCATTTTTGGAAATGGTTACAGAGTTGGCTAGTGACTTTCCTTTCTTGTCCGCTGTTGGACACTCTACCGAACAGATGGCAACAGTGAATGGTGGATTGAGTTGTGGAGATTCTTGTGATATTCTTGCTGTATCAACAAATTATGCTGAGGAGGAGACCGTGTCGTCCCTTCAAAGTTCAATCGACAATCCCATGACTTCCTCGTCATCATCATTGATTCCAGTAGTTTTAGCTTCTGATTTGGATCTGTCTCAAGATGATTGTTGGGGAGATGATGAACTTGGATTCCTTACACGCTATGGAGCATCAGAGTTTACTGATCTTCCAATCTTTGACTTGGATGATAACTTGTGCAACCAACTTGATTTTGACACTAGTGCTGGACTTGCCATGACTGGTTTGTGGTAGGTGTGAGGTTCTTTTTGCTTTCCATTTTACTTTGGCTAATCTTTTGGTGATAATTGCCTGACTGCTTGTCAAGCTCTTATCACTTAACTTAATGATTTATATTATTATGTTTGTGGAAATTCTGTGAGAACGGTCTTTTGTTGAGGCAGAGGCTGGGAGCGGTAGCGCTTGGGGCTCTTTCCTAAGTTCAGGGCCAAAGGTTTTCAGGGAACTTAAACCATTTTGAGTTTTTGATTGACCCGGTTCTTCTCTGGAATTTCAGGAGTCACATTTGGTGTTTGGTCATCTTGCTAATGCAATTCCTCGAGCCGTGGGCAAGGCAGCCTCGATTGGTAAAAGCTGATTGCTAGGCCCCATACTCTGAGGCGGTAAGAAAGGGATGGTACTTTCTCTGGAGGAACTCATTGGATTAGATCTTTCCATCTTTATTTGTGGGTTATCTATCTATCACAAAAGAAACTGATGGTTTTATCGAGTATGCAGCTTATGAAGGGTAGCATGATGGACAACAACCACCACATTGCCTTGCTAAGCTTGGCAGAAAGGATAACCAAAACAACGGATTTGAATGATTCATGATCGGTTTGAAGTGTTCTTGATTGAGGCCCTGCTGCTTCATATTATAACTCTGTCCATTGTCAACAAATTCATCTGTTGCAATTATATGCAATTTGGCTATTTGCTCGATAGCCAATTTGCACTCTGTTAATGCTTTCTCTCCTTTATTTATGAATGGACCGTTCTAATGTCTATTTTAACCTAATATTGCAGGCAATAATATATTGCTGGGCTGTGTCCTGGAGAGTGCTATCATAGGAGTTCCAGTTCTTCTTCGTCTAGCAGCAAATTAGGAAGCCTGGTCTAGTAAGTGAGTTACGGCGAGAAAGGAGTCGGAGTCTTAAGGCTAACCAGGAGCTGTCTCTCATTCGGAGTTCAAGCTACAATGAGTGGTGGAGGCCTCTCTAGAGAGTTTTCTAGTGGAAGCAGCAGCAGCAGCTATGGTTTTGATCAGTCTGATACCTGTAGCTGTGTGGTAGTGATAGAATTTTTGTATACTGGTAAACACAGTGGACGAGTCATTGTCATTGTAGCTGCAACTCGCTGCTCTTTGTTCTCAGCATCCTGCTGGGTTTTTGGTACTAGTTTGGGATGCTTCTTTTGATGCAACCATGTGATCTAGTCACCTATTTGGTGGCTTTTCTGAATATATAATAAATATATAAGTAGATTTGAGTGTTAAGGTAACTCGAACTTGCTTCTCTTTGTCTTATGAAATGTTACTCGAGGGAATTGAGTGATGATTTGATTCATTGAATTGTTTGCAAAAGAGCAGAACGAACCGTCAGAAAGCAAAGCTGAAGAATGTGTCTTTAATTGTAATTGAGTTTTACAGAGTAAAAATGTTGGTAGAACACAGAAGAACCGATTTCCAGTCTACAAATATTGTACTTCCTTCTTTCCCCAAAGATTCCATCCTTTTCATAAGGGAAAGGATCCGAAGAAGAAATTTCCAGTACTACTATTGGATATGCTCGCTGCACTTAGTTTCAAGGGAGTAAACTCAAAACTTAAAAAAATATGCAGGTCTAGTGATATATCCCGGAATCTAGGGTGCGAGTAATGCGGTGGAATTGGGAATTGGGTTAGATGAGATCAACAGCAGCAATGGTGACAAATTATGAGGCCATTCTCATTGCAATCGAGGCATTCACTCCACAACCCATCTGGAGTAGTGATTCGATGGCTGCCGCTGCAATTGAAACAGAGCACGAAACAAACTCCATTGCAGGCCTCACAAGGCTCAGCTGATCTATCAACTGGTGGAAACCCTTCAAAGAGCACACTGAACTTCCCCTGTTCATTCAAACCCAAAACTTCTTCAGCTCCGCCAATGTACCTTCCCTTGATGAAAGGCTCGGTGGCATGAATTTTCCTTCCAGGACCTCCCAGAGCTCTTCCCTGTAATCTTTGCGCATCAATACGTCCCTCTCGTGGTATCCTATTCGAAGGCTCTGTAAAAGAAACCTGACTCCATTGCAGTCCTCGAACGTCTTCCTTATCCCTCTCAGTGTCGTCGAGTAGAAATCACTCTGTCGATTCCCCCCCGGCGGGCATCTCTCTTCCAAATCCAGTAATGAGTTGCTGCCTTGTTCTTCAATTTCGTCCTCAATTCCGCTGGATTTCAGAGGAGGCTCTGCTTCACTTTCTCTTTGCTCTGTTGCTCTGTTTCAGACTACTTGCTTGCTCTGTTCCGCTGCCTTCCCTGCTTCTTCGAAGCCGATCCTCTTCTAAGCTAGCGATTGTCTCTCTTCTTTCTTCCTCAATCCGGTCCATAAACTCCTTCGCCGCGATCTTGAACGCGGCCAACAGTTTTGGGTCGAAGAGGGTGTTGGAATTCATGTCTGGCCTACGGAAAGACGAGATGTCAATCTCTAACAACGGCATTTTCTTGAATGACCCCAAAGTACAGCAGTTTCAACATCATTGTCGATGACGAAGACCGTGATTATAATCACCGTTTACTAAAAACGTTTACGTTTGCTAATTAAAAATAGGGCTAATACCACTGGAAATACCATCCTTTAGCAAAAGTGTCATTTATATTAACTTTCGATATGACAATTGTATACCATCCGTTAAGTTTTCTGTTAGTAGTTAACTTAAAACACAGTCGGCACGGACCTGGCAGCTGATGTGGAAAATTTTCATAAAAAGTAATTATAAAAAATAAAGAAAATCAAAAGATAAAAAGAAAATAAAATATATATTTCTTCCATCTTCCCTACCTCTGTCGATCTCTCCCCTTCGCCAAATTCCCTTCTTCCATCTCCCCCAACTTCCCCACACCTTCTGCCGCCGCCACCACCACCATCAGCAAATCCTCACTCCCAATCGTCTTGCCGTCCGTCAGGAAATGAAACAAGCTCTCCTTTTCCCGTGACAATTAGCTGACAAACAAGAAATAGAAACAAAAATCGAAAAAAATTCAGTCACTATTGGCTACAAGGGTTTCCAATATGCCGCCGCCGATCGAAGATAGGAAGAGAGGAAGAAAAAAAGACGTCGTGGAGACAAAGTAAATGGCGATAGCAGAGGCGTTGTAGTCGCCGCCGTCATCAGAAAGTGGGTCGACCTTCTCCTCCTCTAGGTCGTCATCGTCGTCGTTTTCCTTTGAACGACCGTCACTTCCCCTAAAACGATCATCGCGCACATTGGCTAGAGAAGAATAGAACAAACTGTTGCCGCCACCGTTTAGACATTCAATTCACACCGACTGAAGAACAAGGAGACGAACCACCGCCCTCTCCAAAACTGCAATCGTTCATCTTCTTCACCGCCTTGGGGAACAGGGGATAAGGGATTCAATTTTGCTGACTCGAGAGGGATTCGATGCGGGTGGAATTGTGGCATAGCCTGCTAGTGTGGCGTAGTGGGCATGACATGATTTGGAAATTGATTTCCAGGAGCAGTTCAGATGAGCAGGCGACGGAGAAAGAAAGAAGAAGCAACAACCCAGATCCGAACCTTTGATGCCTCCATTGTCGTCTCTTCAGGCCAACGACATCGTCACTTCCTTTTGCAGAATAACTATGGAACTTTGGCGGTGGTTGCAGAGGAAGGGATGCGGAGGAAGGAGGGTCATTGTTTTCGTCGGCCGATCCGATATTGGAACTTTGGGAAATTTAGTGGTTTGGGCATGAACCGATAAGGTAAATCGAGGAGTTGGGATCGTCGGAAGAAGCAGAAGGGGCATGACAGCGTCGGCGGCGAGAGAGAGAGTGAACCCTGGCTGTAAGGGTAGCGAAGGAGGGCAGAGGACCATTCTTAGAAAAAAATTATTTAAAAATAAATTAATAATATTAATTATTTATTTCCGAAAAATAAATAAATATTTTCAAAATATTAATTTCCTACGTGGCACATATGTGGACAACACCTAAGAACCACATAAGCAATAGTCAAATATATGTTGACCACCGTTAGGTCAATCGTCAATTCTAACGGTCAACAAAAATTCTCGTAACACAAAAGACGCAAACTCCAAAAACGTTGGAATATTTTTGTGTTTATTGAAAGTACGTAGTATAAATGACACTTTCGTTAAAGGATGGTATTTCCTGTGGTATTAGCCCTTAAAAATATTTAATTCCATTCGTGGTCACTAAGATTAGTGAAACGTTTCAAATTTGGTCACTCTCCGTCCAATTCTGTAAACTTTGTCTGACATGGCAATCAACTCTCAAAGTTGACAGTTAATTGAGTGACGTGAGAATGGCACAACCCGCACAATAGTCTCTCAAAACCTCCAACTGCAAGGCTCGAATCGACGCGACACAACTCAAGTAAACAAAAACGACACCATACTGAGTTCCATTATTCGTAACCAACACCGAAATAAAAAAACAAAGAACTAAACAAGACCAAAATTTGCACCACTGGAGCCCACCCCACCGCTAACCCTCCTGACGAATCAACGACAGCAACAAGAAAAAATTCAGAAAAATATAAGCCCCTAAGACGACAGGACACGACTCTACAACGCGATCTAGTTTCTGAAAGAAATACAATATCAAGATTTTCCGCCCTTACTACCCCCAGCAACGATTGGAACGTTAGGGATGGCCCAAGTCCTCGAACGTTCATTTATCCGGGTGGGGCCATTCTCGGCTGGCTACCTCCACCGGATCATCAGTCTTCACAGGATCATCCTTCTCGCCTTGCTCCACACAAGCCTTCTTCATTGGCGTTGGGTTGACCTCCACGCAGGGGCGGACCTAGGGCTTGGTGAGGGGTGTCGTCCGACACCCCTCCGCCAGAAAATTTTGTGAAGGACATCCATTTTTTCGGTACAAAAAATTTTAATTTGAGAATTCCGACACCGCTCTAATAATTATAAGCTACACACCTTTATTATACGACAATAGTTTTAATGTTATAAGTTATTCATCATAATTAGTAATTAACAATAATAAGTAAAATCAAATAAGCATGCTTGTTTTAAGTAACCCACAAACCCATTTAACTTGTCAATTTGTAGTTAATAGGTGAATTGCGTAGATTTATGGGAGATTATGGTTTGATTTTGGTTAATTTGGTAGAACTAGAGAAAAAATGCTAATTTTAACTTTGATTTTAGACGTGGGTCGATTCTCTTTGGTTGAGTGACTAATTTATGACGTATCAATTAGTTGTGTATTCGAAAAATGTTTGATTTGCAACATAAGCGAAGAATATATTTTAAAAAAAATTCAGGATATGAAAAATCGTCATAATTCGTAGTAAACATGACGTTGTCAACTTATAAATGAATTTCCAGTCATTTCTATTAAATTTTTATTTAATTATTTTATTTATTATAATTTTTTATTGGCGACACCCCTATTCAATAATCCTGGGTCCGCCACTGCCTTCACGTCCTCTAGCATCGTCGCGGGACTCTTCTTGTCCATTGATAATTGTCGAAAACATATTTATTCTGTGTGCTTCATGTAAATATTTTATGATATGTATGAGATATATAATGCTCGTTCTAGAGCCAATTGATTATGGAATGGTTGCAAAGGCCATTACCACCTTGTGTTAGAATTTTTATATATTTTAGGTGGAAAGATAGAAATTGTGAAAGCACAAGCAGACAGACAAATCGAACACAAATCAAGTCTATAACTAAACCATTTTGGATCGAGTTCTTGACCTAGCCTAGTTGGATGAAGGGACAGCTGAAGGGCATGGTTTCCTTATACTGGACCGGGTGGCTTTGGTGGATTTTTTTTGGGCCCGACCAATTAAAGAAGGCCTACTGAGTTTTGACCGACAAGAAATTGGGCTTGCTTGGAATTGCTTTGGACGGAACGGAAGGATTTTCTTTTGGAATTTGGATGGGGACGCGGAATTAATTGGAAGAGAGCTGGCGGCGGATAGAATTTGGAGGGAGCAACAATAATTGGGACGGCAACAGTTGGAGTAGGGGGGGTTCTTGGGAGTTAAGAAAAGAGGGTAGCAGGGCGAGTATTGGCCTGGGACGAGAATTCTGGGGACGGAAGCTTTGAAGAGAGACGAGTTGCGCGGAAGAGAGCGAGCAAGCTGCAGCGATCGAGAGCAGAGCGCGGAACGAGCAGAACAGCGGGGAAGAAAATCTCAATATTCTTTTCCTTTTGTTTTGATTCGTGACATGATTATTATGAACATGATTATATCTTTTGATTTCGTCATGAACTAAACCCGATTTCTGGGCGAAACACCATAGGATGTAGCTATTTCTATATTTGATGGATTGATTCATAATTCTTTTCTTCCAACCTCTATTGCATGAAATTACTTAATGCTTTGTGTTGCCTGGCCACCAATACATTGATTTGTTGTTAATTAGGTTATTAGCGACAGTGAAACCCTAATAACTGAACCTATTTCATGTGACATAGTAACTTATCGAAACGACAGTGGATTAAATAAGATACTATGCGGTCTTAAATAGGATATCGTTCTTCAAGCTAAGTAGTTAATTCATTGAACTACGACAGTAGGATTTGACTTAATTGTTTAGTACGTAGTAATTCCCGACAGGGATAGTTAGCACATTCGTGATATCCTGGCTGTAGAGAGTTGGATTAAATTGATTGGACTATGTGAATTAATCTGGATAGGATAGGTAGTGAATCCCGGTGTTTCTCCCAGAGCTGTCTCCCATTGAATTTCTCCCGACAAGTTTACTTTGCTTAATTAGTTTAATTATTTTGCTACTAGTTAATAATTTTATCAACCAAACCATTTTTCACCGATAGTTTGCTCCACAGAATTGATAAATTATAAGGTTGTACCAGTCCCTGAGAGACGATACCTGGATTTCCGGTTTTACTACAAGATAGGAATTGGCATTACGCTTTTGCCCTATCAAGTTTTTGCCCTATCTCGTCGTCGTCCTCCAGAGCCTTCATTTGAAACAATACCTTCCACACACTCTCCTCCGCAACAATCATCGAACGAACACCCTTTGTTGCCGCGTTCACCTGACCCTCCACATCTTTCCAATTTTTTTCTTCCAGTTTCAACACAAGATCTTTAACCTTCCCCCCCCCCCCCCCCTTCTGTTTTGCACCCAGCACTGTTTTCGTGCCTCCCAACGTGAGTTTGATTTGGGTCCCCTCCGCAGAACCATTTTCCACCTTGGTCAACACATTTTTCTTTGCCCTTCAGCTTCTTAGCTTCCTTCCCGCCACTTGTGCCTACAGAACTCTTCGCTGGCTGCTCCTCATTTTCTCTCCGCCTTGACCAGACTCCCTGCCCCTTCCCATCGTCTTCTTCCCCTATTTCTCCTGATTATTCTTTCTTCCCTCCTCCTTTCCAACCACCCCCACTGATCGGCCCTCCGCCACAGTCCATGATTTCCTCTTCTCGCTGCCCTTCTCCTTTCGCCCACGAGAAGACGTCACAGGAAGAGCGATCACCCTAATCCTTGGACCCGAGACAACCTCATGATCCTCGCTCTCCATCCGCCTCCTACCACCATCGCCCATCGCCTCTTTGCCACCATGAGTAGACGGGTTGATCAAAACAGAGTGAGTAATTCCCGTCCCATGGATCGAGTTCAAAGTAGCTTCATTCAACCTGTGTCCAGACTCATCAATCATCATCTCCAGGCCAAAATTTTCCTCTCCTTTGGGATCTAGGTAGCCACAATTGGCAGCCTTATGTCCCAATCTACCACAATGGTAGCTGAACAACGGTAGATGTTCATACACAAGGATCACCCAAAATATCTCAGCTACCGGATTTGAAGCATAAACTTGGGAGTGCAGTGGTTCAGTCATGTTGATCATCACCCGAACCTTGATTAAATAACCTGGCATACCCTTGATTCCATACAATCCTGTGGTAATAGGATCTCCCAGCTTCCCTTGCGCCACACTCATCCCGAAGGCTGTGGTTCTGCAGTGAGATGGAATACCCCACATTATCACCCAAGGTTGGAGCTGCAATACCCTTTCCTTCACTGGCCACAGGGTGCGCTGATAGACCATTGATTGTACATGTTTTTACCCCTATTCTTGAGCCGTTTGAGATGTTGATTCTCGTATTTTAAGCTGATTTCACGCTAGGTTGTGCGTTTATGTCATATTTCAGGGCTTGGCGGTGACATCGAGGCGAAGAAACGAGTTTCAGGTCGAAAGGAGCACGTTTGAGTTGAAGTGTGCTGGAAGAGCAAAATACCCGGCCATGAGCAAAAATACCCGGCCGGGTATTAATCAGAGCAGACCGCGGAAAAGGACTTTTGGGCGTCTGAGAAACAGAGGGGGGCCCGATCGTGAAGCTTAAATCCCCGGTCGGGTATTCTTGACCTTGACCGGGGATTAACCCCCTGCCCCACACGGTGCGTTTTGAGAATCCCCGGCCTCCAGCTAAAATACCCGACCGGGTATTCAGGCCGGGGATCGCGACAGACAGCTTGTTAAGGGAAAAGAAGGGCAAAAGTGAAGGGTTCCGAGTTTTAGAGAGAAAAAGCATATACCTAGAGAGAAAAAGTGACGAACCTGATTTTGCAAGTGTCTTTGATCGATCTCATCACCATTGGAACCCAGCTTGAGCTTGGAGAAGAGCTGATTGAATGCCAGAGGCAGATTATCATCCTTCACATTATGGTTTCCGTATCTGAGCTAGATTTCTTGTCCCTCTCTATGGAGTAACTTTCCTATTCACTTGGGTATGAAGAACCCTTGATTTGTATGTTAGGTTTGATTGTATGAACCCAAGTACAGATTAGTGATATGATTATATTCAATTGAGGTTTGATTTGCTGAATGGCATGAATCCTGTTCAAATTCCTGTTGTTTCTGCTTTAACCTAGAAATAGAATATCTGCCTAGGTTGATAGAGCACCCTTGATTGAAAGTAGTGAATTGACGACTTTAGTCGAGGAGTCAATCCACTATTCTGTACCGAATTTACTTTGGTAGTGGAGGTTTGGTTCGTTAGGGCCTCAATCTGTTTACTCTGGTGGAGGTTAGTCGCCCGCTAGGGACTCAGATTGAGAGGGTCTGGAGACCTTTAGTCGAGACTGCAGACTGTTTAAGAACCTCCCGCAGTATAACTATCATTGAAATTGAACTTGGTAAATTAAAATCCGGCTTAACTGCAGTCTAGGGGGAACCATATCCGGGTGACCTCTCTTGACTTGAAAACAACCTTTTAACTGCTTTGCTTGTTTGCTTGTTTGGATCTTCACTAAAGTTTCACTGCTAAATAATAAGAAACGTGGTTTGCTGTTAATTTAGCTTTTCTTTTAGCATTGTTTGTTTGCTTTCTCACACTTGTTCCTTCACGGGTTTGCTGCTTGACTGTGTGCAGGTAATGTATGACCCGTAGGCAGTCAGGAGGTTTACTGCCGTTGGATCCGGAGCTTGAACGCACCTGTCGCCAACTTAGGACACAACAGCTAGCTAGACTGGCTACGGAGGAGCGCATAGACGGCCACTTGAGCAGCGATTCCGAGGACGAGTACGAGATGGAAGGCGAACATAACCCGCCCTAGGGGATACCTCTCCAGGTTCCCCCGGTGAATAAGATCTTGGGGAACAACCCCATACCCCAGGTAGATGGGGTTCAACATCAACCACCACCGTCGGGTCACACTTGGGAGTATTACTACACTCCACGGGTCGCTAATATCCGCCCTGCCATCCTCTATCTGCCCATCCCAGCAAACAACTTTGAGATCAAGCCATGCTGGATTCAACTCATTATATCCTCTATCCAGTTTCATGGCTTGAAGGATGAGTAGGCAAGGGTGCATCTTTCCCGTTTTCTGCAGCTGACGAACGGGTTCAAGATGAATGGTGTACCCGATGATGCGATCCGCCTTCACCTCGTCCCCCATTCTTTGGCGGGGCATGCAAAGAGGTGGTTGGAGACCCAGCCCCCATTGTCCATTACTTCTTTGGACGATCTGGCCAAAAAGTTCGTGCACAGGTACTATCCGGCATCGAAGACTACAGAGATTCAGCGGGAGATCACTCACTTCCGCCAAGAGCCATATGAGTCATTTCGTGATGTATGGGAGTGGTACTCGGGATTTTTCTGGCAGTGTCCCCATCACGGCTTTAGTGATGCATTTATAGTGGGGAATTTCTACAGTGCTCTCTCTCCGGAAAGCCAGAGGGTGAATGAGTCTCTATGCCCAGGAGGGGATATTCTCACAAAGACTTCACCTGAACTGAACCAGATGATCAGTACCTTGGCTGCCAGAGGTCATTCCTGGGGGCAGAGCACTAGAGGCAGAAATTCCCGGGATCGTGGTGTACACGCCATGGAGGGCAGGTCCGGGCTAGAGCGAGAGGTGGCGAGTTAGTGCAGACATTGAAGCAGCCCAAAAGTCTTATTCCGGGCAGAGGTCTGGGCAGACCTCCAGTAGCTCAATGTCAGTGGTGTGAGAGCTCGAACCATCTGGTGGAAGATTGCTAGGCTATGCGAGAGTCCTCTACACCCCAGGAGCAGTTGGACTTCATCGCCAATGCTCGGCGCCTCGATCCTTACAATTGGACTTCATCTCCCAGCACCAACTGGTGGTTTCTAGCAGAGGCAGCCTTTCCAGGCCAAACAAGGGCTCGTTCCACAGCCGCAGGCTTACCTTCCCAGACAAGGGCAACCATTCCAGCACCAATATGTCGAGCCACCAGCAGCTCCAGCTCCAGATAATCAGATGACCGAGCTGAAGAACATTTTGGCGGCATTTGTGACTACAAGCCAGGCGAATTTTACCAGGATAGACCAAAGCATCGCCTCGCTGGAGGCAGGTCAGAGGAACCAATGTGCCATACTGCAGGACCTCCAGCATCAGCTTGGAGGAATAGCTCGTCAGAACAATACCCGGGCACCGGGAACTCTACCTGCTACTACCATCCCCAATCCACGGGAGCCGCACCAGCAGTTGAATGCCATCACCACCAGGAGTGGCAAGACCACATCGGCGGTACCTGCCCCTGCCAGGCAGGAAGAGCAACTACTTGCTTCAGCACTTCCAGCCGACGATGCAGAAGTGAGGTGGAGAAGGAAGCCCCTGCTCCCAAGCCACAACCAGTGGTTAAGGAGCATGTACCCCAGCTTCCCTTCCCCACTCGACTACACAAAGATAAGTTGGAGACTGAGTTTGCCAAGTTCATGGCAATGTTGAAGCAGCTCAACATCAGCATACCTTTCATGGAGGCACTGTCGAAGATGCCCAAGTACTCCAAGTTCATGAAGGATCTCCTCAGCAACAAGAAGAAACTTGGGGATCTTTCGATAGTGATGTTGAGCGAGGAGTGTTCTGCTATCCTGCAAAACAAGCTGCCCGAGAAGCGTAAAGACCCATGGAGTTTTACTATCCCTCTTGCTATTGGCAGCATGCATGTAGGGAAGTCCTTGGCGGACCTAGGCGCTAGCATAAATGTCATGCCCTTCAAATTGTTTAAAAAGCTAGACCTAGGTGAACCTAGAGCTACTAGGATGCGCATTCAGTTAGCTGATCGTTCCATTGTGCGTCCTAGGGGTATCATAGAGGATCTGCTTGTTAATGTAGGTGCATTCACATATCCTGTTGACTTTGTTATTCTGGATATAAATGCGGATGTGGATGTGCCTTTGATTTTGGGTCGACCATTTCTCGCGACCGCCAAGGCACTTATTGATGTGCATAGTGGTAAACTGATCTTGCGTGCTGGGAATGAACATGCTACTTTTTCTGTGTATGAATTAGATCACTGTGATATGCCTGCTGTCATACCTATGCATGCTATTTCTCACCAGGTACACGAGCCTGTCGTGTACCCTTCTGTGCTTCTCGTTTTGCAGGATCCCCCGCTCACTCCTTTGCCGCCACTCCCTTCAACCTCACCACCAAATAAAAAGATCAGGGAGGAGTGGCGGCCGAAGCCACGGGTGGCTAAGCCTGCTTGGAAGAAAGGTGGCGACCACTATGAGCCGGTCCCACCTCCTGCACCATGACCACCCTGGCCATCCGAGTACTCACTCGTTTGCATCTTGCTGGATGGCCAGGTCGAGCTGACAAATGCTGGTGGTTGCACCCGTCGGGTGCATGGCCACCATCTGAAGCTGTACCTCAAGAGCGATGTGGATCCGCTCTTGGAGGCACCTGTTCCTGCACCCCTCTGAGTATCCACCATGTGTGTCCAGCTAAAAGACGGTAAAGAAGCGCTTGTGGGGAGGCAACCCCACCATGGTTTGCATTTCTTTTTCCCTTTTTTTTGTGTTTGTGTGTCGTATTGAGTCAGTTGCATGTCTGTGTTGAAGTTTTGTCGTTTGTTTTGCCTCGGTTTGGTGTTTTCATGCAGGGGAGGTTGGAAATTTGAGAGAAGGTGTTTTTAGCCGAAAGGGGAAATACCCGGTCGTGGCCCAAAATACCCGATCGGGTATTTTTCGCTCCTGACCGAGGCCCCTTCTGCCTTCCGGGGCGCCAAAAGGGCAAATCCCCGACCTGGACCCATAAATACCCGACCGGGTATTTTTGGCTCAAGGAAGGGGATTTCCCAGCTCTGGAAACGCTGCGTTTACGAACCCCCGACCTGGACCAAGAAATACCCGACCGATAATTTTGGCTCGAGGCCGGGGATTTCCAAAAACTTGAAACGCGCCGTTTCCAAAACCCCTGACCGGGGATTGTTGCTATTTAAGCAAACCCCCGGTCGTTTCTCTCTCTCTCTCCTCTCATTTTTTTTCAAAACTTACCCTCTCTTCCTCTCAAATCCTCTGCCCTCTCTCCTCTCTTGGTCGTCGCCGGTCGCGCCCCTACCGCCGCCGCCCGCCGCCTATGCCGCCCTTCGCCCTCTAGTGACTTTCCGATCAATTTTTCGGCAAGTTTCCCAGATTATTTTGGGCGTCATTTTGGGTCCCTCACCCGCTTTTCGCGTCTCGTCTGCAGTTCTTCTTAAGGTTCCAGATGT